TATGCCAGCGCCAACGCCGCGCCCCGCTTGAATAGCTCCCGCGTGAACCCCATGATCTCGGCGATCTGGCCCTCCTCGATCTGCTGCTGGTGGGGCGCCGCGCGAAAAGAGGGGGCCGTGTTGATCGAGTAGAGGAGCTTCGCCCTGCGCGCGCCCGTCTCCATGGCCTCGTCGGGGTGCCCGTGGCACTCCCGGATCTTGACCTGCAGGGGGTGCTCGGTTATGGGCGTCACTCCGTACGGCTGCTCCAGATGTTCGTGGAACTCCGTGCAGCTCTGGAGGACCCACTGCATCGACGGGACGAGGTCCTGCTTGTTCTTGAGCGCCTTCGTGATCTCCTCGGCTAGCGTCGCCGCCGCGTGGCCGCGAGGTGGTCCGAGCCCGTGGCCCCTGCCCGCCGCCTTCTCCTTCCCGCCGCACTCTCGGCCTGTCTCGATCGGCGCCTGGGCGCAGTCCTCCAGGAGGGGCACGAGCCAGAACACGCCTGCGACGCGGCTCAGCGAGCGGAGCTCTGCGGCGATCTGGAGCGCGAGGCGCCGCAGGGCTCGAATGCTGTCTCGTAGGTCTCCCTGGACTCCGTGACCGTCGCGCCCTCCACCGCCTGGGTTGCCCTGCCCTCCGCCTCCTGCTCCTGCTCCTGAGCCGCTGGCGGCCGCGCCCTGTCCGCTGGTGTTCGCCTGCTTCTGCGGGCGGGCGTGGGCCTCCTGCGGAGGCGGGCGCTTGGTGGCGATGGTGAACCAGTCCGCTGGCATCTCGTCGCCGCCGGGCGCTGTGTGCCGCTGCCCCCCTTTGCCTCGCGGATCTGGTCGGGCCCCGCCAGATGCGCCTGTATGTGTGCGCGGTGTGAAAGGCCTCGAGGTCTTGAGCCTGGTGGGTACAGATAAGGCAAGCGAACGTGCGTGGCCCCTGAACAGGGTGGTCCCACTTCGAACGGCCCTGGTGACATGTGCCGTGGTAGTGGACCGATCAAGTGGCATGGTCGATAGCTGTCTTGCGGTCCTTATAAACACTTTTGCACCAGGGGCACTGGTATGCGGTTACGACTGATGCCACCACAGGTCGTACATTGTGGGCTCCCGTCGGTGGCCCGCTAGGGCCGCGTAGGTAGGGGGGCGTCGTCCGCAAGTAATCTCGCCCCCTCTGCATCTGCCGTAACGTGGTCACACCAGCAAGGTCGCACCAATGCCTCTTCCTGTCCCTCCACCAGTTCCTCCTCCCGCCTGGTCAGAACGTCGCAGTTTCTTTCATAGCTGCGCCGGGCCCTGGGGTTAGTTTGTAACCAGAGATGGTGTTCCATGCGTCCCTCCTCAAAAACGACCATGTCAGAATCCCTGATCTCGTGCCACCCCATTCCCTCGTCCACGCGTGCTAGCGTCTGCAGATCTGTCGCGCACTGTGTTGCCCATGGGGTAGTGTCTGGACCGATCCAGCTCACAGCTGTAAGTCTCTGAATGCCTCGTGGAACGTCGAACCGAGACGATCCGAACACTGCGGCTAGTACTGCGCCATGTTATTTAGGATATCGGCCCAGCTTTGACGCCGTTTCCATCGTCGTGCCATGAGCGAAATACCTGTCGGAGGCCGTTGCATCGTGCAGTTCGGTCCTCCCGCGCCCAAGACATCGCCCCTCGTGCCAGTGCGCGTAGATACTTGCCCTGTAAGCTGCCAATGGCGTTAGTATGGGTTGTGGCGACGACAAAGGCTGCAAGGCCGCTGACCTATAACGAAGACCATGAACATCAGTCGTTTGATTTGTCTGGGCGTCTCCCTGGTCCAGAAGGTGCCGCATTTTCGCCAGGCGATGCGCGCTGCGGCGACGCGCCAAGCGATCGGCGATGCGCCTAGCGATTTCGCCCGCGATGCCCTGACCCGCTGGGAGGTAAGGGCCGAACATCCTCATCTCTCACAGCGCTAGGCCTTTGAGCGCGGCGCTTCGTCTGTGCACGCGAGTAGTACCATAGCTTCCTTGACCAACGGTGTAGATTAGGCGGTTGGTCTTGCTGCGGTTGAGGCCCCACCCCCCTTAAGCAGCGTTGCTAACGGGCGGCCGGTGGCGTCGTTGAGTTGCACCTCGATCAGAGTCGCACTCGCCGGTGGGTGGGGCGGCCTGTGCGTGGGCAATGCCGTCCATGAACGCTCCGAGGCCGATGCCGTGAGTTTTACTTCCAACTGGGTCGCATGTGACGTGCAGCCATTGGTTGGGGTCGATTCTCCCGGTAGCCCAGCGCTGGCCTACGTAGATGTCGTGGGCGTCGTTGAATTGTCTGGGGCTGAGTGTAGAAGCCAATTTGGGCGCCCGCGATGCTCTCAGCTTCGATTTGTCCGTCTGCGGCTCCGAGACTGAAGGTGGAGTGGTCGACGGCCGCCGCCGCGAAGCGCTGGTCGCGCTCGTGGGCGTTCTTGAAGGCAACTGCCCGTGGGAGCGCCCTGTTGGTAGCAGCAAATGCGTTGGTGCCGTCGTAGTTGGTCGTTACTGTGCTGACTCCACCTTGTGCCGCTCGCCAGTGGGCAGCATGTGCGCAGAGTATGCTGATTTCTCAGCATCTGTGCGGTAGGCCGCCTTGGGCCCACGGTGCGTGGTCGGGCGGCGGTCCGCGCTGGTGGATGCTCGAGTGCCAGGCAACGCCGACAGCGTCGTAGACGCGCAGTAGTCGTCTGCCAAGGATGTCTGGTTTTCTCGGCCGAGAATGCCTGAGAGCGGTGCCAACCTAATGGGGTGGTCTGGCAAAAGCGGCACTGGGTGGTTTAAATCGCCCTGGTATTCGTAGTCCAACTCTGCTGATCTCGGTGTTTCCTAGTCCTGCGCAGGTACCCCTGCCCACCCCGTAGGATCGTTGTGCCTACACATGTTCGTAACACGTGCTGTGCTGCATGACCCCCATCCCAGGTTCACTGCCCGCGGCCCATCCACACTTCTGCAACATCTCCCTGCCCCTCTTGAACGTTCCCATAGTAGTGTAGTGGGCTGAGTCCTCCTCGTCCTTTCTCCGCTCCGCTGATACTATTCTACGCTCTTCTAGCTGGTCGGATAGCTGGGTCAGGTCGTGGAGATGCAGCATGGGGTCTAGCAGAATCCATGCGAGCTCGGTCGGGGCGCCCCAAGCTGGCCAGGCCCGCCGTTTGCACGCGCGTTGGCAATAGCGTAGCATAGCCCTTTAGTCGTCGGCAACCTGTCCCTGTAGTTCCGTGTCTATGGGTAGTCTGTCTACTGATTCGGCCGCGCAGTCGGGATGCCGGGCTCGCCCGGATGCTCGGTCGATCGGATCGCGGCTAGTCCCCCGTCTAGTGCGGGTCGACTAAGTTCTCCTAGCCAGTACGCTGTGGTCCAGTTCGTTTTTGGTGATAGGTCGTACCTCTTGTTCGGGCCACGTCCGTCCCGCTGGTGCTGGATTCTAGCCGGCGCATATCTGCGTAGTTGCGCTGCTGGAAGGCCTCCTATATTTTCTCAACAATCTGCGCCCTTCTCTCTTTCTCTACCTTCTCTCTCCCTTTCTTCAAGACAGCACTCAACTCCTTTAGTTCGGCCTGTACCTCATCGCACTCGATCGCAGACAGAGCTCTCGTCGGTCAGACGTGATCGCAGCAATTGCCATTGCTCGAGCAGTCGTAGTCGCTGTTGTTTGGCCCTGGCAGTTAGTTCGTCTAGCTCGTCGGTCGCATCCGTCTTCGCAAATGTGGTTAGCAGTGCCTTTCTTGCTGCGCCTCCCAGCAAGTCCCAAGTAGTATTTGCAGTCGGTTCTGAAAGGTCCTCCTCCCGCCTGTCCTTGCCCACCGCCCGCACCTCCTGGTTGAGCTGTTGTGTCAGCTGGCCGCGCTTGTGCCCGCTGCGCAGGCAATCCATCAGCCCATCCCTGCATAGTCCGTGTTGTAAGCGGGCGCGGGGTGGGAAGGCGGCGGTGGAGGTGGTGGCGAGGAGGGTGAGGCAAGTGGGGACGTGGTCGCGATGGCCTCGTACTTTGATATTATGTAGCCGTTTGCCTGACAGGTGTAATACTTCGCGCCGTTCTACTGGGGGTCAACTACCAGTAGGAATAGCAATGTGGTCCACCCCGCTGGTGCACCCAGAGTGACCGTAGTACGTAGCCCCGACGTTGTAGTGGGTGGTAGCGATACTGAAATGGCTGGTTTCGCATATTTCTCTGACGCGGGTCCCGTTGTTATTCTCAACCTTAGGTTGGTGGGGGCCCACAGTGGGGCCCTTACTGCAAACGATGGAACAGTCAAGTTCCCTATGGCAGCCGAAATCGCAGTTGACGTCGCCCCCCAGCACGACTGCAGTGCGGCATCCTAGTTTATCTGTACTTTCTTCCAACCAGTGGGTAAAACTGGAAGCCAGCAGAAAGTAGTACCACTGATGGGTCGGGGCGTAGTAGCAGACGTAGAAGGCGTAGTCGTAGTGGTTCGTAGTTCGTCGGACTCCTGCCATACGTCCCTGGAGGTAGTTGGGTGGGGTGTAGGTCTCGCGGATGGTTTTCTCGTCTATTCTGTGGCATATTAAGGTGGCCTTTTCCGCAACTTTTGTTTACCCACTTCCCCTTTCCGGCCCCAAACTGTAGGACGGTGTGGGAGGGGATGTTGTTACGTTGCGCAGCTTCTGGTCCTGCCCAGCGACACGTACCACTGAGTAGTATGACGTCCCAACTGTGGAGGTCTGCACTAATATCTTCCAATCGTTCCAGTGTCCTGGCCTCCAGTGGGTTGTAATAGCAACTTCTCATCGTACGATGGTGACGGGCGCCGACATGAGGCCCCCCAGTCTCCCTTCTCTCGAAGCCTGTCGTCTGGTGGCGCAACGGTGCTGCCGTTTGTACGCGAGGTACGGTCGGTATGCTTTGTGACCCCCCCCTGCAGCGACATAAGAGGAGGAGGAGGAGGAGGAGGAGGAGGAGGAGGAGGAGGAGGAGAGAGAAGGCTGAGCAGGAGGAGAGCCTCGTCGCCGTAGCGCCGGGGCGCCGGGGCGGGGGAGGGACGAGCGGCGCCGTGAGGCGGGGGGGGGTCGCCTCCACGTCCGCCAGGCGGCGGTAGGCGAGCAGCAGGCCGCGGGAGGCCACGAAGCCGGGGAGGCTCTGGTCCGCCTGCGGGGGGGGTGAGGGGGAGGGGCGGGGCCAAGCTGGGTGCGCTGGCGTCGTATTTGACGCCTTACCCCTCCCTCCCATCCCTTCCCACAGCGTGGAGCTACTCTCCACTCGCACAGGTCGGGTGTCGCAGAATGGCAGGATATTGCATGGCATAGCGTGGTATTGACTATCAGCGCGTAGCATGACATAGCATGGCCTGGCGACGCGCCCAAAGTGGGGGACCAAGAAATCCATACATCGATACCGAATGTGGAATCACTTGCAATGGTTTTTTCGGGGGCCATTTTCTAGATTTTGGAGCCTGTTTGGAGGTACCGAATGTATTGCCGTGGCATGACACTGGAAATCATGAAGCCAGCGCTGCAACGGGAGCACGATTCGGAACGAATGGAAGCGCGGAGATGAGGCCACCGCTGCAGCGGGAGCACTATTCGGAACGAGCGGAAGCTCGGAAATGAGGCCAGGGCTGCAGCGGGAGCAAGATTTGGAACGAGCGGAAGCCCGAGAATGAGAACAGCGCTTCAGCGGGAACACATTTTTAAAACAAAGCCCAAGCGAAAACCCACTCCAGGGAATCCTGCCTAAAAAACATTATGCGGAGGCGGGCCGGACATCTTCCGGACGTCATCAGGGAAGAGAGGAGAGTAGTATGCACATTGTGGGGGAAGGAAGGGTGATAAGGGGGTGGGGGGCTGGGGGGGGGGCGAGGGAGGGGGAGGGGGAGAGGGGGGGTGAGAAGAGGGACATGGGCGGGGAAGAGAGGGAGGAGGGGTGGGGGAAGCGACATGGGGGGCGGGGGGGGGAGGGGGACGAGGGAAGGGGAAGGATCGGACGGGATCAGGACTACGTGGAGACCAGTGGAGACCTGGCGTTGGCTCGCGCCATGCCGGCGCGGACTGCCGCCGGAAGGTGGCCCTGTGGGGACGGGCGCCTGAAGACGATGCTGAAGACGAGGCCCTTTGTGGAACACTTCACGTCACGCCACGCGGGAACAGCAAGCGAATGGAACACAGCAGCAGCGTAACACTTCACGGAACACGAGTGTCAAGTGAACCGTGCCTAGACGGCACATTGGTTGCAAATCGCACGGCAGCAGCGTAATTATCAGCGGACACGCCCACCGCACACACACTGTCTTGATTCGCACCCCACCCTCCTGAAGTTTCTTCTTCCACTTCCCATCCGCAACCACTCTGGGTTTCGAGTGGCCCGCCGCGCCGCGCTGCCAAAAATACTCGACGTTCGAGTGCGATTGACCAGCCGCCCATTAATCGACGCTCTGATTGAATTCAAATTCTGTGAGATGCGACGGAATGAGCACGGGGCGGTAGTCACTGGCCCAACCTGGATAAGGTTAAAAAGTCACCAGCCGCAGCCGGCAGCTTAAGCGACAACTCCCCCCCGCTCCTGCTCCTGCCGCTGTGCTGCTCAGCCAGCTCGCAGGAGCATCCTAGTCGGCGTCGCGGGCGAACGCGCTCCAGGCCGAAAGACCCGCGCCGCGACCACAAGGGGAGAGAGTGCGAGGAGCAAACAACGACATGAGCAGAACGTTTCGGAGGTCCGCGCGGATTTCTTGGACCAGCGCGCCAAGGCTGGCGCCAGAGTCGGGGATCTTCTGACCCAGGTCAATCCAGACCTGGGTCAGAAGGAAACCATTAAACTGAAATGCAGGAAAACAAAACTGCAATGCAGGTCTTCGCAAACCCGGGTCAGCCAATATGCGCGGCCGCCTCGAGGCCACGCCTCGTTTGCATTGACCCTCGTCTCTTGAGCCCCGCCAGAGCCGCCGCCAGGGGAGTCCGGCCCCGATCCAGGAAATCCGCGGGGGCCTCCGAACATGTATGCTTATGCACCTGTATGCACCTCGGAGAAAGGCCGCCCCCGGCCACGGCCTGCTTGAAAGAACTTCCGTCTGACGCCACTCTTCCGCGCCGCCACGTGCGCTACTTGCTGGCGCCCCAGGATGCGCCCAGATCGCGCTGCGCTGCAGCCCGGCGCGATCGCGACGTGTGGACTCTGGACTCGAGCAGGGGAACGAAGAATGGCGTAAACATAAAAACTCTGAGGTCCGCGCGGATCTCTCGGATCGGCGCTGGACCCCCCTCCCTGGGGCGCGGAGCGCGCCAAGGGCGGCGCTGGAGGCGGCACCAAGGGGTCCAGCGCCGATCCGAGAAATCCGCGCGGACCTCCGAGTTTTTATGATTATGCCATTCTTCGTTTCCCTAATCAGCGTCCCCATCATCGCTTCGGGCGCGATTCTGGCAGCGGCGGATAAGAGGCAAAGACATCGGCGGCGTTAGCGAGCGAGCGATCCGCACGCTCCCGAAGTGAGACTGAGAAGGCACTCTCAAGAAGGCGGCGGGACTTCTCAGAAGCCACCGCGCCTCCTGTTCGGCGGGCACCAACTATACACCAACCCCTCTATCCTGGCCAGGATCACCCTGGCCCAGGATCGGTGTATACGGCTTCCGGCCTTTGGCAAGAAACCATATACACCGATCCTGGGCTTGGGATCGGCCTGGCCCAGGATCGGTGCCCTGCGATCTATGAAGTGCTCTGTGTTTTCGGGGAAGGCTTGAGCAAAACTTCTCAGAAGGCCGGGTGCCTTCCGAGACGTCTGAAAAGGCCTTCTCCTTCTCAGCTCCTCCCTGCGCTCGCCGCCAATCTACGCCAGATGCTCAGGCGCCCTTGTCGAGCAGCCAACGAGTCTTCCATCTGAGGCCCTGGACGGGCCTACTGAAGTGTTCAGGCGCCCTAGGCGCCACACCCCCTCCTCAGGAGAGGAAGAGCTATATGAAACAAAACCCCGGTACCTGATCCCAATTGGCGTCGGGGGCGGCCTTGAAACGCTGCTGGCACGATCCCCGCCACATCCCGTCCATGTTCCATTTCTCTCTCCCCCCGATCATGTGCGCACTTCTGCGGTGACACGCCAATGGTGCCGACAAAAAAAGGGCCATGATAAACCAGCCCACCAACCGCGCCTGCCCTCGAAGGGCAAACAACTGCAAATGCATTTTGTTTGTCGCTCGATGCCCGCAAGACCCTCGCTCTCCACCCACCCACCCACCCACCCTCCCAGGAGGCCCCAGTGCTTCCGAAGACGGAAGCTCGTCGCTCCGCTCTGGATGCGTTTACCTGCTTTCTTACGTGTTCCGTTTTGGAACCTCTGGGTCAGACCTCGTCGCTCTGGCTGCCCAACCTGCCAATCAGTTCTGGAAGCCGCTGCGCCCCGCCACCGCCCACGCCGGGGCGGTGCCGCTGACACATCCAGTAAGCCGTGCTCTTCCTCGTGGGCGCGGGGAACGCCACCTCTTGCACGCCCGAAGTGGGTACGGAACAGAAGCGATGGCCCGACAACAGTTGCTATCCAAAACCGGCAGCGGCCACTGCTGGGCGGGCGTCTGCTTGCTTTAAAACAGACGACGTCGGCAACGAGTCCTGCTCAGCATAGGCAGGAACTGCTGTCGGTCTTCGTGCGAACCCTTTCCGTACCCATTCCGATCGTGCCGACACCTGGTTGCCCCTCAAGAAAAGAGCCGGCTTCCAGGCCTCGGGGGAGGAGCCCTTCATGACGGTCAAGTTGCGGTAGACGGCGAGGTTGCTCTGCAAGCCCTGCCGCCTGCTCCAGCCCACACTGCACTTCTTCTGGCTCTTCACGGGCCACGCCTGGAAGCCGTCGAAGGAGCGGCCCATGCGGGCAGCGATCTCTGGGGTGAGGGCGTTGACGAAGGCGTAACCCAGCGCCTGGTTCGTCTTGAAATCCCTGGGCAGATATACGAGGTCGAACTGCCCGCGGTAACCTCGGGAGCGGCCAAGAGGGGGGTGTCCAAGATGGGGGGGGTGCAAATCATGACCGGCGGCATGTGCGCGGCCCGGCGGGGGGGCCAGGGACGTAATGAAATGAGAAGAGGCGCCATGAAATCTGGGGAAACATCATGGCCCACGCCATGATATCCACCCCCCCCTAGTCATCACCCCCCTCTTTTCCGCCCCCGGCAACCCTGCGTGCCCAGGGCCTCCACGAGCATGTCCCGCGTGAGCGCATACGGCACGTTGCGGAACAGCAGGCTCGTGCGCCACTCGGCGCCCGAGGGCGGTGGCGGCCGGCCACGGGGCGCCTCCGGGCCGCGGCCCGCGGGCGGCGGGGGCCGCAGCTCCGGCGCCGAGGAGCTGCGGAACAGTCGGAGCGCCCTGCGCTCCTCCTCGTAGTCCTGTCGACGGCAGGCCCAGGGGAGGAAGGCTGGGGACTTTCGGGCTCGAGGCTCGAGGTTCTTGGGCGTGTGGGCTCCAGGCGGTCTTCCAGCCTCGGGGGTGCGTTTCGGCAGCTGCGCCTCGCCGAAAGCGCTCCAGGGGTGCTCGGAACGTTCCGCGAAGGCTCCTGAGGAGGCCTGCCCCCTCGCGGACGCGCGGTGCTCCGAAATCATAGCTCGGCGGTGCGGTAGCCGTTCGGGACGATTTCAGCACCACGGGAAAACGCTTTCGGCGAGGCGTACCTGCCGAAGCGCAGCGCAGCCCGAGGCTGAACGCCGCCGAGAACCCACACGCCAAAGAACCTGGAACCTCGAACGTGAAACTCCCAAACCTTCCTCCCCCGAGCCCGCCGCCGATCCTGGAAGTGGAAGAACGTGTTCCGGATAACCAGCCTCCCGCCCAGGCCGGCGGGCTGCGACAGCCCGGCGGCGGCGGGAGCCGCCTCCAGCGAGACCTCGGGCGCGGCCGCCATCGGCAGGGCTCTTGCAGGGGGCGAACTGCTCCTGTGCGCTGCGCAACGGGGGGGCGATACATGGGGGGGGCGAGGAAACGTGCACCTTTCGTGCCCTCTCTGGGCCCCTCTAGGGCACGAAGAGTGCGGTGCACCTGTCTCCACCTCCCCATTTACTGTCCCCTTCCAGTAAACAACGCCCGAGATCTGGAGAGGGGAGGCGCCTCGGTTCCCCGACGCAGGAGCGGGCGGCAGTTGCCTTGGGCCGACGTGGCTTGAGCAAGAATGGCTGCGGAAGGGGCTGGTGACGACGACGAGGAGAGAGAGGAGTACGATCATAGCCGAAGCAGAGAGAGAGGGGGGCGGAGTACACGGCCGACCCGCCCGCGGCCAGGCTTGAGCAATTAGCGGCCATGGCGATTCGGCCATCGACTTCTACGCCAACTATGGTGCTCACTGTCCGCTTCGCACCGATGCCGCCGGAATACTTCAAGATTATAATCGACTCAGTCTCCGTTCAGAACGAATGCTGGCACTGGCCAAGGGGCCAGAGGTTCTTGAGCTTCTCCGACGCCGTCGGATCGACGCAAACGACGCTGCACAAAATGGCTGGGGACGGGACCTCGGCGGATGTACCCCCGTGCCGCCAACCGCTTCGGCCCCCGCCCACTGTCAACCGTCACCAGCGATCATGGACAGACTGCACACGACAACAAAACCCGCCGCGGGCGCGCGCCACGGGAACACGGCCCGTGGACCAGCTCGACTTGAGTCAGTGGCGAAAACGGAATTGAAGAGGTGCGGTCCCCGAGTCGCCAGATGGTGGTCAATTCCAGCCTTGACGATGTGCCTCCAGACACAGCGAAACTCCCGAGTCGCCAGATCGTGGCGCATTCCGGCCTCGACGATGTGGCTCCTCCTCCTCCACACACCGCGAGGCCCATGCAGCATATGCAGTATGGAGCGACCTCCGCTCGCGGAGATTCCCAAGAACCTGCCGGCCTCATCAAGGAGGGGAGGAGGAGGAGGGGGAGAAGGAGGAGGAGGAGGAGGAGGAGGAGGAGGAGTAGGAGGAGGAGGAGAAGGAGGAGTGGGAATGCAATCAGGTGCCCAGAGCGGCGGTCACTGCACGAATCATCAGGTGCACCGAGCTTGGCCGGGAGAACGGCAAGGGGTTACTTGACACCTGTCAGCCCGCTCCCCGCACTGCAAGACTGCACGAAGGCTACCCAAGGCTGCATCCCACAAGACTAAAACACCTACTTCTCGTCTCGCGTGCACGCCCAACTGCGCCGAAACTTGCCCAGTGAGTTCCGTTTTCCTCTTGCTCCTGTTTCCCCTGTCGTGGCCCACGTACTCTACACTACGTTTTCGATTGAAACGAGGATGGGACGGCGGCCAGGCAACTCAATGAGGCCAGCGCGATCATCTCATATCATTGCGTTCAACTCTCGCGACGGTTGAAAACAAAGGTATTGCATTCAAATCTTTCGCACAATTCAACTATATTATTTTTCTTTCGGCTGTCGTCCTGGGCATGTCCAATCGGACGGGCAATATTAAATTGGTGGGGCGTGCCTGCTCACTCGGATTGTATGTTTCCTCGTTCCCGTGTTCGCCTTGGTGTTACATGTTTCCCAGATGCCTCCTGCATTGGGTTGTGGTTTGACAAAACAGTGGGACTGCGTCTTCTTCATTCGTTACTTCCTTCCCGCCTCCGTCCTCCTCTTCCCAAGAGCCTCCTGCCTTTCGCCTCGCCTCCCTGTCAGGGACCTCGCGCAGGGGTTGAGAGCTGCAAGAACGTCGCCATTGACGAGGGCTGCTGGGGCGTCCCTAATCGAAGCAGAGCGGGACCTCGCCGACGCTGGGAGGTAGCGAACTCCGAAGAATTCGCCGTTTTCGAAGGCTGCTACGGGGTCCACCGGAATGGCGACCTACGCAAATCCGAACGGGACCTCGCCGTCGTGATGGGGGGCTGCGCATTCCGAAACTGTCCCCACTTTCGAGGGTTGTTACGGTCGGAAGACCAGAACGGCACCTCGCTGTCGCGGGGGGGGGCTGCGCGCTGCAAAAGTGTCGCCGTTGTCGAGGGTTGCTTGAAAGTCCAGCGGAATCGACGCCGTAGGCAGATCAAGGCAAGACCTCGCCGTCGCTGGGCGGCTGCGAGCTGCCAAACTCTCGCCACCTTCGAAGGGAAACCTTCTGGGGTGCAGCGGAGTGACGTCCTAGGCACATCAGAAAGGGACCTTGCCGTCGCTAGTAAGGCTGTGTCGTGCGAGGCCGTCGCCACTTCCGAAGGTCCAACGGACTGACGTCATGCGCACATATCGGAGCGGGACCTTGCCGTCGTTGGGCGGCTGCGAACTGCGAAAGTGTCACACTTTCGGGGGCTGCTTGGGGGCCCGCAGGAATGACGTCATACGAAAATCAAATCGAAGAAACGTTGCCGTCGCGGGGGGGCTACACAATGCGAAACTGTCGCCGTATTCGAAGGCTGCTAGGGGGTCCAGCGAAGTGACGTCCTACGCAAATCCGAACGGGACCTCGCCGTCGCTGCGGGGTGCACACTGCGAGACGGTCGCCGTGTTCGAAGGCTGCAGATGGGTCCAACGGAAGAACGTCCTCGGCGGATCAGAGTGGGACTTCGCCGTGTCCGGGGCGGCTGCAAACTGCAAAACAGCTCATACTTTCGGGGGCTGCAGAGGGGGGTCCAGCGGAGTGACGTCCTAGGCATATCCGATCGGAGCGGCGCCCTAGGCAAATCAGAGCAGGACGTTGCCGTCGCTGGGAAGGTGCGAACTGCGAAACTGCCGCCACCGACCGCAAGGTCGCGCGCACCGGCTTGGTCATGTCCCACGCCGAGGCCCGACGTCCTGCCAGGGCCGGACCAGGCAACGCAGAGACATAGTCGGCGCCGTGTGCAACGACGCGGAGGACCTGCGCGGCCTCGGGCTGCATCTCTGCACGATGTTGTCCAAGGCCACGCAGGTTCGAGAACTTGCTGGTCATACGCGGCCCCAGCCTCGATGTCCTTGCCCGCGGGCCGCCCGCAGACTTGGCGGCGCGCCTGCGGGCGTTTCCCGCGCTGAAAGGTGCAGGAATGAGGCGGAGAGGCCGGCGGGCGAGAGGGGCCTCGGTCGCTATTTGCACGAGTTATGAACAGGTGATGGCTTCAGACCTCGAGCGGCCTGCCACGGGCTGCGCTGCTCCCCCGCGCGCCGTGGAGCAAATCTTCACCCTCCTTCCCCATCCCGCCTCCTCCTCCTCCTCCTCCTGCTCCTCCTGCTTGGTGTCGTTCTCCTCCCCCATTCGCCGCGTCCCTGCTGCTACGGAGTTGACTGCTGGGCCCCCCTCCTCTCTGCCCTTCTCCTGCACCTTCGTTCCCGCTCTCTTCCTGCTCGAGTGCGTGGCCTCTCCCTCCAATGGTTTCGCTTCACTCTGGGTTGAGGTCATGCCGTTGATGGGTATATCGTTCGGACCCGTTGGGGGCTGCGAAAACGAGGCCGTCCAGTTGCCAGCGTCAGTTCTAGTTCCAAGTTCTGGCTCTAGATGAGGGGGGGGAGGGGGCTGAACAACAAACCCTTTTCCCACCCCCGATGGGGTTTCTCAGGATTCCTGGGGGGAGGCCCTCGGACACATAATATGATAGATTCTCGCTCCCGGGAGCACACTGCCTCGCAAATGACATCGCGCTTGCGCTCCCAAGGCCACAACCCATGGCCCATTCAACCAGACTCCCGCCACTCAGACACAATCCTTTCTATAATGTACGCAGGATCCCCTCAGCCACAACCCTTCGTACACTACATCGCGCTCGCGCCCCCGAGGCCAGTTCTTAGCACACTGCGCCAGCTTCGCACCCCTGACGGCACAGGTCCCTGGCGAATGACGCCAGCCTCCCGCCCCCGAGGCGAGAACCCGATGTGCATTGTTACAAAAGTTGCGCTCCCGAGGTCACGAACCTATCCCACGGAGGCTGGCCCCCAAGCGCCGCCCCTTCGAGAACAGACACACCGTCATCGTCTGTATTAAGATATGTGCTCGGGGGCGGTTTTCTGTTGCCTTCTGAGAGCTTGGATCTGGACCTGGCGACGCTGGTCTTCGTAAATAGCTTTAAGTCGGGCCTGTCCCCCTACAGGGGGATTGTCGACAAAAAATAAAACAAATCTCAACAAATGCTCCCAAATTGGCAAAAATACTCAACAAAAATCCCCCGAATATTTCTTAACTATTTCTGGCGATTCCCCCTGTAGAGGGACACGCCCGACTTAGAAATAGCTGGGGTGCGCGCTCTCGAAGCCCCGACACCTCGCAAAGTGCAGTGGACGTGCGCTCCCGAAAGGGACCATCCCACAATGACTGTCACTGACGCGCGCAGCCCACCAGCCAACAAAAGGCCCGAACCAACTGCCAAAAAGCAAGAATTATCCGGGCGAAGGACCCAACCATATGCAGTTGTGAGTATCGCAATTGTGAGTATCTTCTTCGGTGGCGCTCCCTATGGGGCCACGAACCGCATGAGGGGTGTGCCGAAATGTGGCGGGGTACACAACGCAAAGGAACACGATAGATCTGATTACGAGAGAAAGAACGCGGGTGAGTCAGAGCGCGAGGGAATCTGAGTATGAATGGGTCTGCGCGCGAGTGAATATATTTGCATGAATGCGATCATGGAAACGCCTAGTGTAAGTGCATATGAATGTGAACGAGCATGCCTGTCCGAACACACGTGACACTGGGCGTGGCCGCCGCAGGCAGCTTCCGCGGGAACCCCGACGGCAGCGTCCGCACGTCGCGACGCCCATGTCGGCACGCCTCTTGCGAGGATCGCGCCCGCTTTCGGCTCTTATTTTCCTTCCTCTTTGCCCGCGCACTCCAAAATCCAAGGCTGCGGGCGCAGCGCAGCGCGGAGTCCCCGCGGCGCGCGCTGGTCGCCTCGGGCGGGGTCCCAGCGACGCGCGCGGGTCGTCCGCTGCGCGAAGCAGAGAGAGCTGACTAGCTAA